GGGTTGAAGTGCAGCTGAAGATTTAAAGGTTTGGATGACTTTGGCCATCGTGCCTGCTGCTCGCCAGCAGTAGCCTGAGCAAGTGGCTGTCAGTGCCCATTCAGACAACATTGGGCAGTTCTATTGTTCTGCTTCTTCTTCTGCTGCTTCTTCTTCTTCTTTTGGAGATTGTTTTTGGGCGCAAAGTCAGTTTAGGAATTCTTTTAGGAGTTTACATCGCTGCTTTTCTTGCGTTTTTAGAAAGTCTCAGGCGAGAGCTCGATTTCCCGCTGAAAATGATGGAAAAATAATGAAGAATTATGAGAAGTATGAAATATGATGAAGAATGCTGAGAAATCAAACGACAAAGATGAAATATCATGAAAACATATTGAAATCTTCAAAAAATGTCAAAATGTGGCATCTGACGAAAATTATGAAATTAGATGAAATATAATGAAAGCATGAAAAGACAAGAAAATGATTGAACATTAAGAAAATTATGAAATGTAATGAACACTCATGAAACATGTTGAAGTATGATGACATCTGCTAAAAAACTGTGAAAGTTATGACATTTAACGAAAATTCTGCGGCTTCATAAAGTATGATGAAAATCATGAAACCATGCATTATCATAGAACATGACGAAAAATCATGAAATATGATGAAAATGATTGAAAAGTAATGAAAGATGATGAAATATGATGAGATATGATGAAAATTATGGAATATGATGAAACATCATGAAAATTCTTGAGAATTTATAGTGTATCATGGAAATTGCGGAAAATAATGGAAGATGATGAAACATTGTGCATATGATGACAAGTCGTGACAACAGCGATGAAAAATCATACAATGGTTCATCATTTGGAACAGGCATGGACGGCCTTGAAAAAGGCCGCGAATGGTCTGTATAACCATCCCTTACTGCAAACATGGTGATGACATAATGCTTCTTTGTTACGGCAAGCATGCAAGGCATTCAAAAAGGCGGGGGTTGGGGGGAGGGAGGGGGGGGGGGCAGCCCTCCCCACCTTGCAAGAAATAAGGATAAAGATGAGGAAAGAAGATGGAAACTACTGAAAGATGACCAAGACTATGAAAACCCTCGAAACCAATGGAAACATGTGAAGAAGCATGGAGAGCAATGAAAAATCTAAACTTGAGAAACATCACAAAAGTTGTTGAAAATAATCAAAATGATGAAAAGTAACATGGCAAAACATTGTGACACATGATGGAAAACGGCAGCTACTAGTTCGAAATGATGAAACATTGTGACACATGATGGAAAACGGCAGCTACTAAGCAGAAAGAAAGAAGCAAGAAGCAAAAAAAAAAGGGCACATAGCCGCAATCGGGAAGCTGAGTGCAGCCAATTAGAAACAGGAAGCTAAAATCAGAAAGCAATCAGCACTCCGGAGATCGCAGGCAGGAAGAAGCAGGAAGCAAAAAGCTGACAGCAAAAGTAAGAAGCAAGAAAGACAACAACAAAAAAAAGAAAGCCAGAAACAAGAAGCAACAGGCAGAAGGCAACAAGCAGACAAAAGCAGGAGGCAACAAGCCCAGAAGCAAAGAGCATCGAGCACGAAGCTGAAAGGAAAAGCTGATAGAAAAAAAGCAGAAACCAAGAAGCGTAAAGCAACACACGACAATAGACAGAAAGGCAGGAAACAACAATTGTATTAAAGAATCCTTGCGAAAATAGGCCTCCATTGTTGTTCTTCTGGTGCTACTGTTACTGCCATGATTCTGCTACTCTGACTACGACTGATAATCTTACTACTAGTGCAAGCGCAGCGCTAGTGTATTGGTCTTGGTGCTGGTGCTGGTGTTGATGCTGGTGTTGATGCTGGTGTTGATGCTGGTGTTGGTGTTGGTGTTGGTGTTGGTGCTGGTGGTCGTGGTGATGGACAGTGGCGGTCCTGGCGGTGCCTTCTGACGTCAGGAGCCCAAAAACGGACCTAATCCTTAAAATCGCACAAATCGAATGCCCAAGACTATGCTACGGACTTCGTGGACCTTTCGGGACACTGAAGGATTTCTCCCAAGATGCTGAAGGCGAACACAGCTGGGTTTTGGGTCCAGGCCTGAAGCCAGGCGGTAGCATGGGCTGGAAGGCCCACTGCAGCTGCTGGGTACTCCACCCCTCGGTTTAGGATTCAGGGCTTGTGGGTGCAAGTTTTTCGGGCTGAGGGATTACCTTCGAATGTGGCACCAGAAGCTTGTTTCAGAGACTTGCAGAAGCATCAGGTTTCTACAGGTGCAAACAGATGGGAAAATGAAAGCTTTCAAAGGCCTGAAGTCAGAGCAGCAACCCTTTCTCGCAAGTCTCTTGAAACCTTACTCCAAGTAAGGAGAACGCACGGGGTCCCTGGAAAATCGTTTCGTGGCAGAACACCTCGGCGAGCAACTGAAACAAGCGGACTACTGCTATCCCTGACAGCCCGTACAATCACACCCTTAACGGAAAGCGACACTTCTGAGAAAAAACGAAAAACCTGTGCTCCCTTCGTGGCTTCCTGTGTGAGACCTCTGCTTCTGGTATCACCATACCCCAGCTGGAAGTTTCACACATGCCCTTAACACTCATGAGACGGTGCTGAAAAGTCGTGAGGTTGCTAGAAAAAAACCTTGACCTCAAACCCTGTGAACTCTTCACCCAAGTTGCGCTGTGGTAGGGAGACCACCAGCGCCGCGGCCACAGCATTGGCGACCGCAGATGCCGCAGCCTCTTCCTCTGCGGGGAGGATACAAGATACCAAACAGTATCTCAAACCACCCAAACCCGAAGCTCTACTAAATGCCATCTTCGCTTGTAGTCAGATATACTCCTTGGTTCGGGCCCTGTAGCCATATAACAATGATATGGAAATACACATATTCATGCATGTATTTCTTCTTTTTGGGCTACGAAAATCCCAACTTCTCTGTCTGCGTTCAAGAACACCCTCTTTGAAGGGCGTCCCTCAAAAGAAAAGGACTTTGTAACGGCGTTCATCTTTTCAAGCTGCCCCAAAACTTAAGCCCTGATACCTTACTCATACTATACACTGTCAAAACCGGCACGATACTGCATTGCGAATCCCCCGGTGCTCCAACGCCCCCACACGTTTCCGCGTAACTCAAAAAGGTGAACCCTCATACAAAACCCTCCGCAAACATAAAACTAAATCCAATGACCCTTAGCCCCAAACCCACAAAATCCTTTGCGCAATCCCAGCTTCCGTTTTATGTTCTAATTTTGTTTCTGTTTGATTCTCCATTATATCCCAGAACCCTAAACCCACCCCAAACCCTGAAACCCCGAACCCTGAAACCCCGAACCCCAAACACTAGCCCTACACCAAAAAACACGAAAACCCTAAACCCCAAATTCTGAAATCCCAGACCCCAAACCCTACAGTACACCCCAAAAACAAAAAAAAATACAACTCTAAACCCCAAATCGCCCAAACCACGCCTGCTCCTGGCTCATGGCCAGGGCTGCTGGTGTCTCAGGACCATGGCCTGGGTCTGGGTGTATGAATGCACTTCATAGGGATTATAAAAAGTTTATAGGGCACCATGCGGGATAGGGGTTGTATAGGGGGTTGTAAAATGGTTATATAAGGTTATATATAATATATATGGGTATGGTATATACGGGAACGGTAGAGCAGATGCAAACCAGGACGTGTGGTAATGGGACTTTGAGAAGAACTCTATGAGAGTGGGGGAGAATAAGATCTTCATTTAGCGCCAGGGAGGGGCTTCCGCAGGTACCATTTCTTCAGAAATGGTCTTCGATCTCATGTTCCTGGAATCCTCCGTGGTCATGCACAGTCTGAGGGGGTGCGTTAAATGTTGTCAAAAACATGAAAATCCAGTGGTGCAACCCCCCATTTCCTCTCAAATGCTACCACACTCTGCTGTAGCTATTGCATCGACTGATGCCACTGCCATTTTGTTTGCCTGGGTGTTGCTGCTGCTACTCCTACTCCTTCTTCTACTACTACTACTACTGCTACTACTACTGCTACTGGCTACTGCTCCTGCTCCTCCTCCTCCTCCTCGTACTACTGCTGCAGAGATCACTCGTTTTCTATACGTGACCGCAAATCTAAGTATTTTTACAGTGACCAGGACCTGATGCCCTGAATGCTGAGACTCATACAACAAGCATGAAATCTGAAAAGGATCCGGTTGAAGGGGACAGCGGTCTGCAATGCAAAAACAAACGCGTTTCATCTTCTCGTTAAGCTTAGGGAAATGTAGGGGAGGATACTATGTGCTGCTGAATGGCCCTCTTGCGTTTGCGCCTCGGGCTGGTTGGCGCCTTGGATGACTGCGCACTAACCAGGCAAATTAGGTCTGGTTCCAAAGAGAATCTGTTGCAGTGGCGGCTCTTGGGGGATGAGGCACGGGCACGGCATCGGCAAGCGGGCCCCTGCGCCAACGGGCATGCCACAGGCACGCCATGGACACGGGCACCCGAGCACGCCACGGACACGGGCACCCGGGCAGCCCGGGCACACGGGCACACACACACACGAGCCCTCGGGCATGCGCACTTATAGTGGCACCTCATAGGCACCCTACAGGCTCACTAGTGAGGTGGCCTCTGTCTTCAGCCACATGTTTTTTTGTGATGATACGGGCAATCACAAGAAGTACAATCTTAGTAAGATATCAATGGCAAGAGAAACACTGACTAACAATACTCATAAAAACAACAAAAGTAGTAAGTACCAATTTCCATATGAATCTTAAGAATCATGATAAAAATCATACGAATAACGCTGATAACAACGATTACTATGACAAATAATAATCGTGAGAACAATAACCCTATACGGACCTTGGGATCCCCCTGTCTCCGTCAAGACCACCATGAAAGGCACAGAAAATTCCGTTTAGCAGCAGATGCCAGCGAAGGAACACAGCCCACAGTTGCCTTTTGTAGAGGCTGCAGGCACTTGGATGTTGTTCTAAATTCTAGTAGCGGTTCTCCAGCATTAGTACTTTCTTGCGCCCGCCCTTGCGCCGTCTTGCGCGCGTGGGGTTTTG